ATATACACATTTGTTTGCGCATTACGTCCATACAAATGTTTAGGGTTCGGTTGGACGGAAAACCTTGCTGTTCCGCCTGTTTGTCAAGAACGATTTGTGAGGGGCGGTAACTTTTTCCCCACCACCGAGCAATCCATTCATTTTCGCTGACTGCAATATCGGCTGGAACGATGATCATGATCCGCGCGGCTACGCGAAATCTGTAACATCGACAGAGGCGATGATCATGAAATCCTACTCCGGGACTCGTCGCTACGATTTAGCGCCATGCTTTTGGTATCGCCTAAAACCGGAGCGTTGTGCATCTCCCCACTCATCTCTGATTGAGACCACCAAAAACAGGCTCATTGGCAATCTTCCTATTCATCTCTGTCTGTATTCTTCAATTGTACCTAAGACAATTTTGTGCACCTGGCACTTGGCCCTCTACGAGGGCATAAAGCCACAAGGAACAAGAAGAAGAAGAAGAATCTCTTCTCCCGGACTCGCCGCTACGATTTAGCGCCATGCTTTTGGTCAGAGATGAGTAGGGAGATTGCCAATGAGCCTCTTTTTGGTGGTCGCAATTTTTCTCTGGTTTCGGCGCGCCACCTTAGCGGAGGGCCCTCGAAGCAGTTCCACGTTTTTGATTGGTCGTGTATATATAGTAATACTACGCGTGATAATCTGGAGCTGTGTTTTGGCGCGTCGACGCGCCACCTGAACGAGACTCTCGAACTAGTTCCACGTTTTTGATTGGTCGAATGAATTCGTGTGTTCCTCGAGATCCACGATTTTAAACCAGGTGAACACTCGAATAGGGAGACTTGTATCCACCTTTTTTTTTACAGGATATTACATAAACTGTAGTAATAAGGTAGTCAATATCCTTAATATCCATATGAAACTCTGGAAATAATAGAGTAAGCAAATAAAACTTAAAAAAAAACTCTCGAACGTGGGTAACTACAGAAATATAAGTTTGCTAAATAGTATACCACAATCACTCGATGGCACATGTGCTTGCTGCTGAGTTAACGTCCGAGAGTCTCGGGTTCGAAACTGACGTCTTACCTCTCTTTTCTTTTAATTATCAACTATGCTTATT